ACCAGGCAGGCAGGGCTCTCAGCGTCGCCTGTCATGCGTGGCCAACAGCAGCAACGGCGGCGGTAACAGCATGATGAGTGGTTGAAGTGGAAAGCAGGCATGCGTACATACAAGCCACCACGCGTGCATGCAAGCAAAACAGACAAGCAGAGATGCAGTGCCGCGCACATCGCATACCTTATGCTGAGGTACGTCATGCCTTGTGCTGAATGTGTGCGATTCCTGGTGGGCCTTTGTATCCGCCGACCTTGCCGATGCTGGCGATGATGGCTGCAGGGCTTCACCGGCGCGGAGTCGTATTCCACCGTCGCGGTGCCAGCCAGCAGGCCCACACGACACAATGCCGTGCGCGCCGGGCATACGCCCTCGATGTTGGACACGCACGAGGTGCACGGCATGCCTGTAGTGCAGCGCAACAGCATCAACGAAAGTGGAAAGTGGAAGTGAGGAAGTACTAGTGAGTGAGCACCAAACGGCACACAAACGGACAAACACCCACCCACACCCACACACCCACACCCACACGCACACACACACACACGCACACACACACACACACATGCACATGCACACACACACATGCACACACACACATGCACACACACACACAGTGCGCGCACCTGCAACTTGGTGTCAGTGCTTTCAGATGCATCGGCAGCTGCTGTTGTGCTCGGAGTGGGGTGATGGCTTCCTGAAGAGTGTCGGCAACAGCATCTTGGGGCTTGTCGGAGGGCGCCGATTCCTCCTTCGCCTCGCTTTCTCGTGCACAACACATGATCTGCTTGTGTGTTTGTGCTGGTGTATTGTTGTTGTTCCAACATTACCTTCTTCTCTGGGCTCGTCGAGGGAAAGTGCTTCCAAATCGGGGGCAGGTGTTGCCAGAAACGCAAGGACTTTCCTTCTCTGCCAACACGGCAAGCAGAAGGTGTGCGGTGCGTTTTGTCGGTGTGAGAGCCACTTTTCGGCAGCAAAGAAAAAAAAAAACAGATGTGCAGGCATTCACGCAAGCAACAAGAGAGACGGTTGCTGCATTAAAATTGATCTGCTGCACAACCACTCCACGACGCGGGGGGCAATGGAACCGTACTCTTTGTGTCGCACACGTGGCGGTTCAAGAAAACGACGCACGCGCTGAACGTGTTCAGCGTGCTGCTGTTGCTTTAAGAGTTTGCACATGAAGAAGGGGCAGGCAGCGCAAGGTAACAGCAAGTGTGTGTTTATGTGTGTGTGTTTGTATGTGTGTGTGTGTTTGTGTGTGTGTGTGTGTGTGTTTGTGTGTGAGTGAGAGAGAGTGTGTGTGAGTGTGTGTGTGCCTGTGTGTGTGCCTGTGTGTGTGTGTCTCTCTGTCTGTCTCTCTCTGTCTCTCTGTCTCTCTCTCTCTCTGTCTCTGTCTCTCTCTGTCTCTCTGTCTCTGTCTCTCTCTTCTCTCTGTCTATCTCTCTCTGTCTCTCTCTCTCTCTCTTCTCTCTCTCTGCCCTGTACACGCACACCTGTCTCTGCCACTGTCCTCGTGCCTCACCTCCTCCGCACTGTCAACATTGGAATCTCTTCCCATACTAACTGCGTGCGTTTGCATGCTCTCTTCTGCAGGGCAGTGATCTCTGTTCTCATGACGATGCAGCGAACTGCAGAGGCGGCACACCAAGCAACCCAGCGGCGCATCTCGCAGATGCTCCAGCAGGCATATGCGGACTTGAAACCGGGAACCATGTTCAAGAGCAAGGATGGTGTGTTACGTGCTTTCACAGCCGTCGCTGTGTTCCATGAGATGGATGCAACCACCGTGTGAGTGCCTTACCTCGGTGCATGCGTATGCGCCCACGTCCTGTGTTTGTACGTGCTTGCATGCGAGCAAGGAAGCACGCGCGTCCACTCACTCTGTCTGCCTTTCTGTCTCTCTCTATACTCACACACACCACACACACTCACTCTCATTCTCTGTCTCTCTGTCGCTCTCCCACATACACACTCACTCTCTCACTCAATAACTCTCTCCCACACACACGCTCACTCTGTCTCTGTCGCTCTCCCACATACACACACACTTTCTCTCTATCACCCTCTCACCCACACACTCTCTGTCTGTCTCTCTCTCCCACACACACTCTCTCCGTCTACAATTCTCCTTCATCCCCTCTTCTTTTCTCTTCCATGCACGCAGGTGTACGCTTCGGACACTTTCGCCATTCGTGTCATCTGCAGCAACGAGAAGAGGCGCCAGGATGCGCTTAACATGAACGCAAGTGACCCTTCCCCGCTTGGGTGTCTCTACTGCTGTACCAGCACGATACAGCCTTGCGGAAGGTTTAGAGTGAATCAGCTGGGCATACATACTTGCCGCAACAGCAATCGGACAGTCACATCCCAGACGCTTGCGCGCGTTGACCAGGCCATCCTTGGTACTGGTCTCCAGATGGTGCAGGTGGCACGAGAAAGGTGTGTGTGTGTGTGCGTGTGCGTGTGCGTGCGTGCGTGCGTGCGTCTGTGTGTGTGTGTGTGTTTGTGTGTGTGTGTGAGTGTGTGTGTGTGCATGCGTGTGTGTGT